AGGCGGACCTGTCGCCGGAGGCTGTCGCCCACCCCTCCATGGGAGCCGCCCTCGTTCCCCTCAGCTGACCCACAAGGGACCCCCTCCCACTGGACCAAAGACGCCACTCCCGGCACGTCTCGGCATCCGTCCCTCAGGCGGGCCCACCGCCACACCGGAAACACGCTAGTCGCCCTTTCTAAAGAGTCAGTATGGCACAGACATTTCCCCTGCGTACGTCCTCGCTCGAGATGACTGGATTTCTAACGAAATCCGACCGGCAGACATGCAGAAGCAGGACAACCGGGGCTGGTGCTTTCCCTCCGTACACGCACACGTGGGTTCCGAAGGCTCGTCCGTTTTGCCGTTAACCCGAGCAGAATGTGGGAGCTGGACGGCTCCTCCTGAGAGCACCCTGGACCGCACGGCCCGGCCGCCCGCCGCCCGCGACGCCGGCGGACACTGTACCTTCGTGACCGGAAGCAGTGGCTTCCACTTGTGGCCCGGGAGGTCCCACTTTTGCTTGATCATGTCTTCTTCCTCCTGGGTCGTCAGGATACAACCATCCACCTTACAGCTGTCAGGGGAGTTGCCTGCGGGAACGAGACAGCCATTTGCTCCCATGCCCGCTGCGCTCGGCGCAGTTCGGGTCACAGGATGTCGGCCTTTTTCAGTCGGATCGAACACCCAGCGGAGAACACATTGTTGTTCTGTTCAAGCAAAGCAAAGGCACGAAGAACGCGGAGGAGGAACGTGCGGGTCTGTGGGGCGGCTGGGCCGCCCCCCAGGCAGACACGTGCGCGTCCTTCAGAGGACTCCAGCGGCCTGAGGTGTCAGTGCGCCCCGCATCCAAGTCTGAATGTGTCGCCTTGACCTTGAAAGCGGGACGAATTCGACAGGCTCCCTAGGTTGTGGGTTTAATCGCTTACATTCTGCTCTGTGGCTCATCTGAAACTATTACGAAGCCGGAAAGGCGTCTCTGTGGCATCATATTTTGTAAGGTGACTGAGCTAAGCCGACCGGGACGCAGGACCAAACGCGCCGTACGCAGGGATTTCTCGGTGTCCTATAGCTGCCGATATACAGTCCTGAGTTGCTCTCCTCTCTGAAATTTCATCGGAATTATGTCCCCAGGGGGCTGGAGGACCTTGGTGGGAGGGTCCCACTCTTTGTGAGAAGAGCTGCTGTGGGGTTCCCCAAGACTAAGACGAAAAGAGGAAAGGTTGCTGACAAGGGCCCCGGAAAGAGAGGTACTCCGTTCTCATGCCCCCTGGTGGTTCATGTCTTAAAACAGCGGTCCCCCAGGTGGGTGCCCACGCCCTGGGGTGCCCACCGAAAGCCGAAGGAGCCAACGGCAGAGGGACTACTTCTGTTCCTGTACAAACATACATTAAACTTCATGCCTCTGATATTGTAAGTGGACACTGCACGCTCCCTCGTTCCTGTGCCTGTCACACTGGGACAGAGATGTGCTGAGAAGGTCACAGTAGCGTATTCGTGACATATCACAGTTTGCGGGCCTGGCTACGTGGAGTTACTGGCCGTCACCTGGTTTAGACTAAACTATCCCTTGCGAAAATAAACAAGTGTCTTTAAACTATTCACGTGGAGAACCAGAGCTTAAAAGACACTGCTGGAAACTCAGGCGTCCACGCGAAGCAGCCGACACTCCTGACGGTCGGCATGAGCCATCGTCGGCCACGCCGAGGTCGAAAACGGTGATCTGCCACTCCACTGGGAACAGTCTTCCAAGACTGGCTACCGTTACTGGGGCTTCTTGAGATGTTTAACTCACATCTACTACCACTGAAGATGACTCTCTCCCTAAATATATGTTATTCCTTCATGTAATTAATTGTTAATAATTGAGTGAAGCTGTGATTCTCAAGACATTTAAAAATCGGGCATTAAAAATTTGACTATAAACTGCCACCATTTATTCAGAGACGACTAAACAATCATGAGACGCCTCAAGCAGTACTTACCAAAATTTCACCTAATAATTATAAAAGTGGAGCCACCTCTTTTGAACTTTCTTAAATAATGATCCATGTATATATTTCATAAGAAAGTAAGTATAGCATATCAGAAGTGCTTGTCCAAATCACTGTGGAAGTACACAGTTTTTAAAATCTGGAGCTCCTCACCTTGGAAGTCAAGCCCGGAGAACACACGGACACCCCAGCAATCTGCCCTGTAGGAGGACACCTCCATCCAGTTCCTCTCGTGCCCTAACTAGGGAGTGTCTCAGAGGCTCTCTCCTAGTGGGGTCGAAGGCCCCACATACAGAGCCTCACAGCATCATAGAGTCTCGCATGACTTTTGGGGTCATCCTGTTCAACTGTGCCATCTTGTAAAGGGGGGACTGGAGTACAAAGAGTTAAAGTAACTCACTCAGAACTGCACAGCTGGCAAGTGGCAAAGCCAAGCTCCGAGCCCACCGTCCCAAGTCCCAAGTCCCCCTCAGCAGGAGCACGGCCCCTTTATCATTTATTCATTCATTCATTTTGTTATTCCGTTTATTTATCTGGTATGAACAGAGAAGAATTAATGTTTTCGTTAGGGGTTTCTGCCTTCTCCTATCTGCATCCTTCTTCCATGCGAAGCCTTAGCCCTGAACATAAGTAACCAGATCATGTTTCTCTTTCTTTATATAAACCAAAAATGAGCCTAAGACCAACAAGGATTCCGGAGTAGAAAGACAGAGGGCTTGTCGGACGAGACTAAGCTCACGTCGCGTCTCGCTGATACGCTTGCTGAGTGATCGTGGGCATGCCACCCAAGCTCCAGTGACTTCTCTGTAAACGAACTAATACCACCTTCCTTTCGAGGTGTGAGAATTATTTTTTTAATTAACTTATTTTTATTTATGGTGACATTGGTTAACGAAATCCATTAAGTTTCAGCCATACACTTTAACGGTAAGGCATGTGTATATTTACACTGTGTGTTCACCTCCCACGGTTAGATTTCTTTCTGTCACCCCATAGTTGACCCCCTTCACCCTGTCTACCTCCTCCCTCCGGTAACCGCTAGTCTGTAGTCCATGTCCATGAGTCTGTGTTCCTGTGTGGCTTTTCAGTTTACACCCCACGCTTAGTGATATCACAGCACGTTCCCTTAATAACCCACGTGACGATTAAAACGTATTTCCTCGCGGCTTCACAGTTACCTTTAAAGTGCTCTGTATTAATCTCTATTTGCGTTATTACTCCAGGATGTGCCAAGCGGAAAACTGCCCATTCGCACCCCGAAACGAGGAGAGTGCCGTTCTCATCGCTCTGGAAGTCAAAGCAAGAGACATAAGCCAACTGGGTGTCCCTCGAGAAGCCAGTCTGAAAACCAGCGAGTGGAAATTACTGACGTACTCGTCAGTCCTTCCATTCTCCCTATAAAAGTGTCCCCTAGGACCTGACGTGGGAGTTACCTTTTGTGTCAATTGCTCTTTGCCTTTTTTTCTCAAACGCTTTTCTCGTGCTGACTCGTGAGTTTATCGGTAAGTTTTTATAAATTTCTAATGTGATTTTCTATGTCGATTATAAATTCACGTAGAATTCTGCACACAACAGGGTCTTCGTCTAACCCAGCCCACGTGTTCTGATCAGTTTGTTTTGATCTTTCAAAGTAGATACGTTCGTGGTCAAATGTATACCAATATCTGATCTGCCTTCAAACCTTAGCCTCAGTCAAGGAGAGTTTATGCAGTTCTATGTGGAAGCGTTGGGTGACGTGAAAAATAACCCGGGAAAGGGGTGTTTACGACTAAGTTTTCGGCGGGGTTTTCAACTCGAAAGGTGTTTTGTTTCATTTTGCTCTCGTCTGGATGTTCTTGGGTCAAGTCAGGGCGGGCCAAATGAAACAGCTGAGCCGTCCCGTCTGCCACAGGCTCGCGTAAGCGGTCACACCAAGAGGTGCACAGGTATATACAGTGATCAAACTGGGTTTCTTCTTCAGATCGAGGCATTCGACTAGGCGGCAACGGCCAGCACGTTTGGCCTTTGGGGTCTTTGGCCTGATATGATGATACAGCAGGAAATTTGGGAAACATGGAGAAGTAATCAGCTTTTAGAATGATGCTTAAGAGGGTTCTACATTAAGAGCTGCCTTGATACAAGATAAAAAACTTCGCTTTTTAGAAGGCTGTAACCGCGGTGGGTTTTACCTCCTTACCTCTATCGTCGGCGGCCTGTCCAGCCTCCTGGCCGTTTCCCAGCCATCCGCCACCGACCTCGGCTGGCCGACCCCTGCCGGAGACAGCATAGTTGAGTGGGGTGTCATGTGATTTTACGCCAAAGGTGAGCATGAGTTTATTGGTGAAATTAAATTCCAGCTCCCAGGCACCTGAGCATCGCTACGGAAATTATTTTCATCGAAGTTAACGTTTCAGTGATCCGCATGTGATCATAAGGTTAGTAAATGTTACTTTTTTAATCACAACTGTTTAAGCCAAATTAGGAAGGAAAATTGCTCACTTCGTGTCATGGGGGCAGCAAATCCTATTCCAGATGGTTAATCTCGTCCGCTTCCTTAAATCGGCTTAAACCGGCCCGTTATATTGGGGTGTTTAATGCTGGTGCCCAGACACCCCAAAGAAAAGCCAGCCTCTCGAGCATCATCTCACCTATCACTTTGTTGGGGTGCCCAAAATGCGCGTTGCTAAACCCTACGCAGGCGCCCCCGAAAGCCAAGGCCACCAGGTCCAAAGGCTCTTTGGCGTCCGTAGCTATCCAGTCCTTCTGTCCAGTACCGTACACACGGAGACGAGCGACCCCGCCATCTGAAAGTACAAGGTGCCTCCGTTATTTCTTGGTTGGAAAAGCAGCCGCCTGTGGACCGCGAACTGCAAACGCCCTCCGCACCACGCCCGCTGCCCCGGGGCCTCTGTCCTCGCTGTCCCTGGTCCTGGAACAACTTTTCGAGCTCTCCAAGGGACGGCTTCTCATTCTCAGGTCTCAACCTAGGTGTCGCGGCCTCGGAAAGGCCTTCCGCCTCGGTGCCCAACATCTCTGCTTCCCGGCCCCGCCCCCGGCCCCCGGCCTCACCCCTGGGCTGAGACGGTCACCCCTCCCACACGTATATTCCACAGCACTCGCCAGTCTGAAAGCAACTTGTTCTTTATTTAGGTCCCAGCTAACACGTCTCCCAAAGCCGAATGTTAAATTTCCGAAGGCCTGGACAGCTGCCCATCTCGTCCACTCCCGTCTCGTCTCCATCTAGAGCCAGTCCCGGCACATAGTAGGTGCTCATAGTCTTTTATTGAATTAATAACTCCAGGTAAGTCCAAAGGCGGTTGGGACACCCACCATAGATCTGACGTTTGGTGCCAGAAATCGGCACCGCTAAGCCCCGCACGGACTCACACAAGAGCCTTACGTGTTTATTGAGATGACTCCTGAGGATACAAACGTACTGGTCCCCGAAACGGGTACCAGCTGTGAACCGCAGCGGCCCGCGGCCCGCTCTGCGGAGCAGAAAAGAGCTGCAGGATCGACTCACATTATCTGACTCCAGTAAAGTGAATGCGTTTTGTCTGTCTGAATGGCGCCTTCTAGAAGGCGGAAGCCAAGCTTTTTCAGGCAGCAGCTCAAAATCGTTAATCAGTTTTCTACCGAAACCAAGCCCAGTGTGATTTCACATGAAAAATTTGGTGAAACGGAGCATCTGAAACTAGAACGGGGGAATCTTGATATTTATAGTAGTTAAAACCGGACCA